AACTAACAAGGCTATATAAATCGAATATGAATGATTGGTGCTGTATCTTACAACTAAAGAAAAACTAACATATTGTCTTCGGTTTTTAAGGAAGTCTCTCTGAACTGCAGTTATTTGAAATGATCCTGATACTAAAAGGCCATGCATGGTGTTATTTTCAACATTACAGGAAAACCTTGGCTTCTGTGTGTTTGACATCTCAAATCCCCTATAAGTTCCTCACTGTGATCCAGGTTGGTCTGTTCACCAAATCTAAATCTCTGGAAAATTTGTTCCTGCAGAAGATCTAGAAAGAATGATTTATTTTGTTGCTGCGCATTTGTCATTCACCTCCACCTTCCCTTCCCAGGGCCTCACTAAGGTTTCCATCATTGGTTCTGACACCACTGGGAATATCCTTTCTTGTTTGGTTGCCTGTTCACTTTCTTTCTGTCCTTTCTCTTAACTCCTTTATCTCTCTCCACAATTCTGGTTTATCGTTTGTTCTTTTATATACATATCTCTGGCATCTGTCTCCCCAGTTCCATCTCCTTCCACTTCATTTTCCTCTGTCTCCCCTTTGCTTCTCCCCTGTACTTTGTGCTTCACTTTTGGGAAATAATGGTATTTACAGATTTACAGCCTGGTGATATCTAATTCCTTGCCTCTTCCTTCTTCCCTTTGCATAGTCTGACGAAGTTGGACTGATTCACAACTCTGTCCTTTCCTTTTTTGTCCCTTTATCAGCTATATTATTTCTTGCATGATACTACTCTTTGGAGGAGGCTGAGAGATTGCCAAATGACCCAGAAGACCTGACTGGTGGTGTTTTGTTTCTTAGCACCTGAGGGACAGTATTTAAATTTTATCGAGGGTGAGGTCTTATTTTGGATACTGTACATCTCCTTTGGCCTAGAAAACTTCTTTGGGAAAGTGGACATTGAGACCCTCAAGTTCTGCAATGATGAATGTCCCCTTCTTAACTTTCTTATCTTTGTACATCTCAAACAAGTCTTCCAATTAAAAAATGTGGCTAGTGAAAATGACGCTAGCATTCCTATGTTAAAACATTAAAAATTTCCTTCATTGAGTCATCTAAGCTCATTAAAAAACATGAAAGAAAAAAATAAGAAAAAATTCTAGAGTCCCCAGGATAACCACTGTTAGCGTATTTTTGGTGTTTGTTTTGTTTACTTTTAATGTGCTTCAAAGTTTTAAAAATTATGTTTTGTTTTGTCTCTTTTGTTTGTGACTCTTACATAACAATAAATATTGTGTATACAATTTTGTATCTTTTTTCTTTACTTAGTATTATAACTAAGTTGGTCCTTCATGTTTTACCATAGTCTCTAGAATCATAATTTAAAAAAACTGCAAAACTGTATATTTCTTGAAGTGCATAGACCTCAACCATTGACTAATTATTCCATACTCGCTACTTTTTTTTGCTTAATTTTTTTTTTTTTTTTAGAGAGAGAGAGAGAGAGAAAGAGAGAGAGAGGGAGAGGGAGGAGGGGGGGGAGGGGCAGAGAGAGAGGGAGAGAGAAAATCTTAAGCAGGCTCCACGCCCAGTGGGAGCCCAGCTTGGGGCTTGATCTCACGACCCTGATATCATCACCTGAGCCGAAATCAAGAGTTGGACGTTTAACCGGCTGAGCCACTCAGGCAGCCCTACGCTCCCTATTTTTTAACGTGTGAGAATTCACTGCCGTAAGTGCTCAATTTGACCAGTGTTACTTCATCCTTCAGTGACTTCCCATGTGACCCTCAGTCATTGCATCAGAGTCCTATGTGAAGGATGACTCAGGGAGTATGAGGAATAAAACACTGAAAACAATCTTGAGGCTCTTTTGAGCTTCCTCCTACTGATCTCTCTTATGAGATTGTAGCCAGGAACAAACTATAAAAAAGCCTGGGAGTAGCTGTGATGAGAAATAGTGAAGTAAAGGAGTTAACAACATTTCTGGAAATGAAAAATACAGACCTACAACCTCAAGTCTTAGAGAAAATTTATTAATGTCCCACTTCACATGAATAAGGAATGTTATACTGGTACCAAGAGGGTGTTTTGTACAGATGTTTGTTGAAAGGATAGAGTAGTATAAAATCACTAGAGGGAGTCTGACTTTACATATATGAGTTAGGACTGCAAGTAACAGAAAACAAAATTAAACTAGCTTAAACAAACATAAATATTAGCTCCCATGCTCAAAAATTCAGAGGAGGCCAGCTTCAGGCTGGCTTAATCCAGTAGTTCTGGCTGCTTCTCCAGTTTGCTCAGCTGTACCCTCCTATGTGTATTGGCTTCATCTTCAGGCTGGCTTCCTTCATGGAGGTAAAATGACTGCAGTTATTTTAAGCTTTATAGTTCTGTTTCATCACTTTTGGAGGAAATGAGAACTTATTTACTGGCGGGTTTTTTTTTTTTTTTATTAAGAGTGAGAAAAATTTTTTCTCAGGAGTTCTATATAAATATTTCTTTGCATTTCATTGATCTAAATTAGATAACATGTCCATTCCTGAACTAATTCTTGTGGCCATGTCAATGACCCATGCTAATTGGTTTATGTCTGTATTCCCGACCCAATTCACTGTGGCAGAGGTGATGTATGCGTTTATGTATGTATGTATGTATGTCGCCCTACGCTGTTATTTATTTTTTAATTTAAATGCAATTAATTAACATATAATGTATTATTAGGTTCAGAGGTAGAGTTCAGTGATTCATTAGTCATATAATACCCAGTGATCATTACATCACATGCCCTCCTTAATGTCCATCATCCAATTTCCCCATCCCCCCAGCCCCCACCCTTCTCCCCTCCAGCAACCCTCAGTTTGTTTTTTATGATTAAGAGTCTCTTATGGTTTGTCTCCCTCACTGATTACATCTTGGCAGAGGTGATTTAAACCAATCAGGTTTACTCCTGGAGCTCATGATGTGGTAATTGCCCCTTTATGCATTTGGGTTGTATGGGGGAAGAGATGAATGCCTGAAGGAAAATTGGGCTGTTATTAGGAAAAGGAAAAATGTGAATGGATGCTCTATAAATTTAACCCATGATAACTGCCATTCTGGAGCTTGTGTTTAGTTTAGGGATTGATCACTGGAAAAATGCTGAAAACAAATGTTTATATAAAGGGAATAGATAAATCATGTATAAAGTATAATTGTGATAAAAATGGAATTATTAAATCTTTTATTGAGGTATAATTGACATTCATTATGTTATAGGTGGACAATGTAATTATTTAACACTTTATACATTGCAAAATGATCACCATAACAAGTCTAGTCATCATTTGTCACCATAAAAAGTTACAATTTTTTTTATTATGAGAACTTTAAAAATTTATCTTATTTTATTTTGTTTATTTTTTTAAGATTTTATTTTTTTATTTGTCAGAGAGAGAGAGAGAGAGAAAGAGGGAGAAAGCACAAGCAGTGGGGAGCAGGATCCCAAGGGGGACCCTGGGATCATGACCTAAGCTGAAGGCAGACGCTTAACTGACTGAGCCACCCAGGTGTCCCATTGTTTAGGTTTTTCTTTTTAAGATTTAATTTTAAGTAATCTCTACACCCAACGTGGGGCTCAAACTTACAACCCTGAGATCAAGAGTCTCATGCTCCACCCACTGAGCCAGCCAGGTACACCCCATGATGGGAGCTTTTAAGATCCACTCTCCCAGTAACCTTCAAATATGCGTCACAATATCATTGACTATAGTAACTCTGTTGCACACCATATCCCATAACCTATTCTTCTCACAACTGGAAGTTTGTACCTCCTTACTCCCCTCACCCATTTTACCCACTCCTCCTACCCTCTGGTAACCACCACTCTATTGTCCATATCCATGAGTTTGCTTTGTTTTGTTTTTTAGAGTCCACATATGAGTGAGATCATAGAATATTTGCCTTTTTCTGTCTGACTTATTTCACTTAGCATAATACCCTCTTGGTCCATCCATGTTGTTGCAAATGTCAAGATTTCATTCTTTTTTATGGTTGAGTTGTATCCCATTGTACATATGTATTACATCTTCTTTACCCATTCATCCATTGATGGCCATTTAGGTTGTTTCTGTATCTTGACTCTTCTGAGTAATACTGCACTGAACATAGGGATGTGTAAATCTTTTTAAATGTATGTTTTCATTTTCTCCAAATAAATGCCCAGAAGTAAGAATTGCTAGATCATATGGTAGTTTTATTTTTAATTTTTTGAGGAACCTGTATATTGTCTTCCACAGTGGCTGACCCAATTTACATTCCCACCAACAGTGCATGATGGATCCCTCTCCTCAACATCTTCACCAGCATTTATCTCTTATCTTTTGTATTATAGCCATCCCAATAGGTCTGAAGTAATAGCTCAGTGTGGTTTTGATTTGCATTTCCCAGACCATTAGTGATGCTGAGCATCTTTTCATGTGCCTGTTTGCCATCTGTATGTCTTCTTTAGAAAAATGTCTATTCAGATCCTCTATTTTTTTTTAATTAGAACTACCTTCTGACCATTTTAAAAATCAGATTGTTCTTATCTTTTCGCTATTCAGCTCTATGAGTTCTTTATATATTTTGGATATTAACCCCTTAACAGATAATGATTTGTAAATATCTTCTCCACTCAATAGGTTGCCTTTTCATTTTATTGATGGTTTTCTTTGCTGTGCAGAGGCTTTTAATTTGATGCAGTCCCACTTATTTATTTTGGCTTTTGTTGCCTTTGCTCGTAGAATTAAATTCCAGAAAACATCACCAAGACCAATGTTAAGATTTTCAACTATGTTTTTTTCTAGGAGCTTTATGATTCAGGTCTTATGTTTAAGTCTTTAATCCATTTTGAGTTAATTTTTCTGTATGGTGTAAGACAGTAGTTTAGCTTCATTCTTTTGCATGTGGCTGTCCTGCTTTTCCAACACCATTTATTAAAGAGACTGTCTTTTTTTTTTTTTTTTTTTTGAGACTGTCCTTTTTTCTTTTAAAGATTTTTTTTTTTTTTTTTTTTTTTTGACAGAGAGAGACACAGTCAGAGAGGGAACACAAGCAGGGGGAGTGGGAGAGGGAGAAGCAGGCTTCCCGCGGAGCAAGGAGCCTGATGCGGGACTTGATCCCAGGACCACGGGATCGTGACCTGAGCCGAAGGCAGACGCTTAACCGACTGAGCCACTCAGGAGCCCCGAGACTGTCCTTTTTTCATTGTAAGTATTTTCCCTTTTGTCTTAGATTAATTGACTATGTATTTCTGGTTTTGCTATTCTGTTCTATTATCTTTGTGTCTGCTTTTATGCCAACAACATGTTTTGAATACTTTAGCTTTGTAGTATAGTTTGAAATCGGGAGAATTATACTTCCTGTATTGTTCTTTTTTTTTTTTTTTTAAGATTTTATTTATTTATTTGACAGAGAGAGACACGGCAAGAGAGGGAACACAAGCAGAGGGAGAGGGAGAAGCAGGCTTCCTGCGGAGCAGGGAGCCCGGTGTGGGGCTCGATCCCAGGACCCTGGGATCATGACCTGAGCCAAAGGCAGATGCTTAATGACTGAGTCACCCAGATGCCCCAAGTATTGTTCTTTCTCAAGATTGATTTGGCTATGTGGGGTCTTTTGAGGTTCCACACAAATTTTAGAATTATTTGTTCTAGTTCTGTGAAAATTGCCATTGGAATTTTGATAAGGATTGCATTGAATCTGTAGATTGTTTTGAATAATATGGACATTTTGACGGTATTAACTCTTCCAATTTGTGAGCACAGAATATCTTTCTATTTACTGTATTTTCTTTGATATCTTTCATCAGTGTCTTGTAATTTTTGGTGGACAGATCTTTCATCTTTTGGTTAAATCTATTCCTAGGTATTTTATTGTTTTTGATGCAATTTTAAATAGGATTGTGTTCCTAATTTCTTTTTCTTATAGTTCATTCTTAGTGTATAGAAATGCAACATATTTTTGTATGTTGATTTTATACCCTGTAATTTTTACTGAATTCATTTATTTAAACAGTTTTTTTTTGGTGGAGTCTTTAGGGTTTTCTTTCTTTTTTTTTTTTTTAGAGTTTATTTAAATTCAAGTTAGTTAACATATAGTGTATTATTAGTTTCAGGGGTAGAATTTAGTGATTCATCAGTTGCATATAACACCTAGTGCTCATTATATCAAGTGCCCTCCTTTTTTTTTATCATCATCTTTTTTTTATTATTATTTTTTTTTTATTGTTATGTTAATCACCATACATTACATCATTAGTTTTAGATGTAGTGTTCCATGATTCATTGTTTGTGCATAACAGCCAGTGCTCCATGCAGAATGTGCCCTCCTCAATACCCATCACCAGGCTAACCCATCCTCCTACCCCCCTCCCTCTAGAACCCTCAGTTTGTTTTTCAGAGTCCATCATCTCTCGTGGTTCGTCTACCCCTCTGATTTCCCCCCCTTCATTCTTTCCCTCCTGCTATCTTCTCCTTCTTTTTTTTTTTTTCTTAACATATATTGCATTATTTGTTTCGGAGGTACAGATCTGAGATTCAACAGTCTTGCACAATTCACAGCACTTACTAGAGCACATACCCTCCCCAGTGTCTATCACCTAGTCACCCCATCCCTCCCACCCCACCCCCACTCCAGCAACCCTCAGTTTGTTTCCTGAGATTAAGAATTCCTCATATCAGTGAGGTCATATGATACATGTCTTTCTCTGTTTGACTTATTTCGCTCAGCATAATACCCTCCAGTTCCATCCATGTCATTGCAATGGCAAGATCTCATTCCTTTTGATGGCTGCATAATATTCCATTGTATATATATACCACCTCTTCTTTATCCATTCATCTGTCGATGGACATCTTGGCTCTTTCCACAGTTTGGCTATTGTGGACATTGCTGCTATAAACATCGGGGTGCACGTACCCTTTCGGATCCCTACTTTTGTATCTTTGGGGTAAATACCCAGTAGTGCAATTGCTGGATCATATGGTAGCTCTATTTTCAACTTTTTGAGGAACCTCCATACTGTTTTCCAGAGTGGCTGCACCAGCTTGCATTCCCACCAACACTGTAGGAGGCTTCCCCTTTCTCTGCATCCCCGCCAACATCTGTCATTTCCTGACTTGTTAATTTTAGCCATTCTGACTGGTGTGAGGTGGTATCTCATTGAGGTTTGGATTTGGATTTCCCTGATGCCGAGCGATATTGAGCTCTTTTTCATGTGTCTGTTGCCCATTTGGATGTCTTCTTTGGAAAAATGTCTGTTCATGTCTTCTGCCCATTTCTTGATTGGATTAGTTGTTCTTTGGGTGTTGAGTTTGATGAGTTCTTTATAGATTTTGGATACTAGCCCTTTATCTGATATGTCATTTGCAAATATCTTCTCCCATTCTGTCAGTTGTCTTTTGGTTTTGTTGACTGTTTCCTTTGCTTTGCAAAAGCTTTTCATCTTGATGAAGTCCCAATAGTTCATTTTTGCCCTTGCTTCCCTTGCCTTTGGCGATGTTTCTAGGAAGAAGTTGCTGCGGCTGAGGCCGAAGAGGTTGCTGCCTGTGTTCTCCTTTAGGATTTTGATGGACTCCTGTCTCACATTGAGGTCTTTCAACCATTTGGAGTCTATTTTTGTGTGTGGTGTAAGGAAATGGTCCAGTTGCATTCTTCTGCATGTGGCTGTCCAATTTTCCCAACACCATTTGTTGAAGAGAATGTCTTTTTTCCATTGGACATTCTTTCCTGCTTTGTCAAAGATGAGTTGACCATAGAGTTGAGGGTCCATTTCTGGGCTCTCTATTCTGTTCCATTGATCTATGTGTCTGTTTTTGTGCCAGTACCATACTGTCTTGATGATGACAGCTTTGTAATACTGCTTGAAGTTCAGAATTGTGATGCTACCAGCTTTGCTTTTCTTTTTCAACATTCCTCTGGCTGTGCGGGGTCTTTTCTGGTTCCATACAAATTTTAGGATGATTTGTTCCATTTCTTTGAAAAAAGTGGATGGTATTTTGATGGGGATTGCATTGAATGTGTAGATTGCTCTAGGTAGCATTGACATCTTCACAATATTTGTTCTTCCAATCCATGAGCATGGAACGTTTTTCCATTTCTTTGTGTCTTCCTCAATTTCTTTCATGAGTATTTTATAGTTTTCTGAGTACAGATCCTTTGCTTCTTTGGTTAGATTTATTCCTAGGTATCTTATGGTTTTGGGTGCAATTGTAAATGGGATCAACTCCTTAATTTCTCTTTCTTCTGTCTTGGTGGTGGTGTATAGGAATGCCACTGACTTCTGTGCATTGATTTTATATCCTACCACTTTACTGAATTCTTGTATGAGTTCTAGCAGTTTTGGGGTGGAGTCTTTTGGGTTTTCCACATAAAGTATCATATCATCTGCAAAGAGTGAGATTTTGATTTCTTCTTTGCCGATTTGGATGCCTTTGATTTCTTTTTGTTGTCTGATTGCTGTGGCTAGGACTTCTAATACTATGTTGAATAGCAGTGGTGATAGTGGACATCCCTGCCACGTTCCTGACCTTAGGGGGAAAGCTCTCAGTTTTTCCCCATTGAGAATGATAGTCGCTGTAGGTTTTTCATAGATGGCTTTTATGATATTGAGGTATGTACCCTCTATCCCTATACTCTGAAGAGTTTTGATCAAGAAAGGATGCTGTACTTTGTCAAATGCTTTTTCTGCATCTATTGAGAGGATCATATGATTCTTGTTCTTTCTTTTGTTAATGTATTGTATCACATTGATTGATTTGCGGATGTTGAACCAACCTTGCAGCCCAGGGATAAATCCCACTTGGTCGTGGTGAATAATCCTTTTAACGTGCTGTTGGATCCTATTGGCTAGTATTTTGGTGAGAATTTTTACATCCATGTTCATCAGGGATATCGGTCTGTAATTCTCCTTTTTGATGGGGTCTTTGTCTGGGTTTGGGATCAAGGTAATGCTGGCCTCATAAAATGAGTTTGGAAGTTTTCCTTCCATTTCTATTTTTTGGAACAGTTTCAGAAGAATAGGTATTAATTCTTCTTTAAATGTTTGGTAGAATTCCCCTGGGAAGCCATCTGGCCCTGGGCTTTTGTTTGTTGGGAGATTTTTGATGACTGCTTCAATTTCCTTAGTGGTTATAGGTCTGTTCAGGTTTTCTATTTCTTCCTGGTTCAGTTTTGGTAGTTGATACATCTCTAGGAATGCATCCATTTCTTCCAGGTTATCTAATTTGCTGGCATAGAGTTGCTCATAATATGTTCTTATAATTGTTTGTATTTCTTTGGTGTTGGTTGTGATCTCTCCTCTTTCATTCATGATTTTGTTGATTTGGGTCATTTCTCTTTTCTTTTTGATAAGTCTGGCCAGGGGTTTATCAATCTTGTTAATTCTTTCAAAGAACCAGCTCCTAGTTTCGTTGATCTGTTCTACTGTTCTTTTAGTTTCTATTTCATTGATTTCTGCTCTGATCTTTATGATTTCTCTTCTCCTGCTGGGTTTAGGCTTTATTTGCTGTTCTTTCTCCAGCTCCTTTAGGTGTAGGGTTAGGTTGTGTACTTGAGACCTTTCTTGTTTCTTGAGAAAGGCTTGTATTGCTATATACTTTCCTCTTAGGACTGCCTTTGCTGCATCCCAAAGATTTTGAATAGTTGTGTTTTCATTTTCATTGGTTTCCATGAATTTTTTAAATTCTTCTTTAATTTCCTGGTTGACCCATTCATTCTTTGCTAGGATACTCTTTAGGCTCCATGTATTTGAGTTCTTTCTAACTTTCCTCTTGTGATTGAGTTCTAGTTTCAAAGCATTGTGGTCTGAAAATAGGCAGGGAATGATCCCAATCTTTTGGTACCGGTTGAGACCTGATTTATGACCTAGGATGTGATCTATTCTGGAGAATGTTCCATGGGTACTAGAGAAGAATGTGTATTCTGTTGCTTTGGGATGGAATGTTCTGAATATGTCTGTGAAGTCCATTTGTTCCAGTGTGTCATTTAAAGTCTTTATTTCCTTGTTGATCTTTTGCTTAGACGATCTGTCCATTTCAGTGAGGGGGGTGTTAAAGTCCCCCACTATTATTGAATTGTTGTCAATGTGTTTCTTTGCTTTTGTTATTAATTGGCTTATATAATTGACTGCTCCCATGTTAGGGATATTTACAATTGTTAGATCTTCTTGTTGGATAGACCCTTTAAGTAGGATATAGTGTCCTTCCTCATC